ACTCCCACAGCTCTAATGGTCACCGCACACTGAAGAACAAAGACTTGGAAGGACAAAGCATGAGAAGGTAAGAAGAAACAAGACACTGAGGCCTTGGAAGAGGGGAATTAGAGAGGAATCTACCATTGGAAATGCCTGCAGTACAGAAAGATCTAGGCCCAGACCAGAGAGAGAAAGTTGGGGATTACAGCTCATGAGCTCACTAAACTGGCTCAAATGTGTAATTGTTTCCAAATGGGGAAGACAGCTCTGCAAGAATGAAATTATAACCATCTTCCACTATTATGTCATTTCACCCTCTGGAAAATAGTTGTACCTAAAAGAAGACCTCCTTCAAAGAGAGAGAGAGAGAGAGAGAGAGAGAGAGAGAGCGAGAAGGAAAGAAAAAAGAACAAAGGCATTGGCCCAGCTCAGGAAAGCTAGAGGCTAGAAAAAAGTATGGTTACCTACCGAAGCTCATCTGATCCGGGGTTCTGGTAGACCAAGAGCGACTTCCTCACACATTACCAAATTAGACAACTGAACATGTTAAGATCTAAGGATTCTCTCTGTTGGCCAGTGGCCTAACAAGGCAGGGTCAGACCCACCTCCCCTTACTGCTAATTAAGAGCTACCGAGTCACCTCTCAGGCTTCCAGGGTGAAGCTACTACGTTTGCAATCCAGATGTCCCAGAGGGAGGGTAATGGCTACTCTCCGGCTGCTTACCCCAGGTTCCCTCTCCGCCTTCTCCCCATGCCTCACTGACACGTTCATTTAGTCTTCACACACTCACGAGGCAGCCTGGTAGAGTGTGAAGAGGATAAGCTACAGACTCCAACAGGGAGCCCCCCAAGCTATGAACCTGTGCAAATAACTTAATCTCTTTGACACTCAATTTCTTCATCTGCAAACTGAGACTAAACATACGTATCATGATGTGTTTTTGTGAGGATTAAATGAGATGATGTACATAGTGCCCAGCAGGGCCTGGCCAGGGCAAGCCCCCAGTCCTCATTAGGTTGCCTCCCATTAGTTTCCCACCCGCCTCACCAAGCCTTCCTTCTCCCTCCTTACCCAGCACTGACGAGGCACTAAAAGGACTTGTGATGCAAAGGAAGAAGCTAATGCTGTCATATAAGGTGACAAGTATAAAAAGATATGGATAAAGAGAAAAAGGAGCAGGGCACCTGGGTGGCTCAGTCGGTTAAGCGTCCAACTTCGGCTCAGATCATAATCTCATGGTTCATGGGTTCAAGCCCTGCTCCGGGCTCTCTGCTGTCAGCACGGAGCCCACTTCAGATACCCCACTCCACCCCTCCCCTGCTCTTGTGCGTATGTTCTCCTTCTCTCAAAAAAAAATATTTTTTTTTAAAAAAAAGAGAAAAAGCACTGGGGAGAGAGATTTAATTCTTTTGAAGAGATCAGGGCAGATTTTTAGAGGTAGTGATATTTGGCTGGACCTTGGAAAATGAGTGAGGTTCCAAGTGGGGAGACCCCGGAAAGCAGAGGGAGGGAGTAGGGAAGTGTGACAGGGAAGAAGCCCATCATGGGGGCATTAACGAGCGGGCTACCACCATGGGCAGCTGCGGCACAATCCAACAATCTACTACGTTTGCAGAACACGCCTCGGCATCACCTCACCGAGGGACGAGCAAGCTGACGCAGGGGAACACAAACTCTCGTCCCTCACTACTCTCAAGTGTTAGCTCCCTGGCACTTCTGGCTTATTCCACACACAGGCCACACATGGTCCTACAGGCACAGATCATTCTCAGAGGGACGTGGGAGCCACCAGCCTGCATGCACTTTCCTGTTTTCCTGCCCCATTTTCATCATTTTTCAATACATTTTTTTCAAAAAGACTTACTTCTACCATGCAGCTTTCATTTTGATGATTTTTTCCCTTAGGTTTTACTTTCCTTCCTCATTTTACTTCCCTGTGGTGGAAAACACACTGAAACATGAGACGGAAGATCTAGTATCTAGTCTGGCTCCACCACTTCCCAACCAGTCATGTCCCTGGGGACATTTACTCATCAGCAGAGTGGGGACATTTGATTTCTGCTTCGCCAATCCCACAGTGATGTTTCTATGCCCGGAGAAGACGATGTGCGAGCCCAGTTTACATGAATGTCACAGGGCCGTGACAGAATCTGAAGCCTGTGATCTCTATCTGGAGGAGTTTGCTCCCCCTACTTGTGTGATTTTTGTGAGCTGTGCAGGTAGTGTAGACTCTAAGCCAATCACATCAACATCACCTGGGAGCTTGGTAAAAGTGTCCATTCTCAGGTCCTGCCCTATACCTACTGAATCAAAACCTGTGGGGGAGGGGACAAAGACATCTGTTTTACCAAGTCCTCCAGGGGATTCTGAAATCTTGAGAACCGATGTTTTCAGAGTTCAAAAACTCTGGTTTTCTGGTTATGAGCACAAGATTCAGAACTGGCCATAAATCCCAGTCAGCCACTTCCTCGAGGAACTCACTTAGCTCTCTGAGACTCAGTTTCTTGATCTGGGAAATGGGGCTAAGGCTAGGATCTCTCCTTCATGGATTTGGTTGAGAAGCTTAAGAGAGTGAATATGTGTAAAGCACGTAGGAACCTGGCACACTGTAAGCAGTCAGTTACACGCTTAGCTCTTGTCATTTCTTTTTGTAAAGCATGGTGGCTTCTTGACGTGCCCCGGTGCTTACTTTTTGAAAGACTGTCAATTGTGTTTTAGCCTGCTAGGAAGTCTCCCATTTAGTGTGTGTGTGTGTGTGTGTGTGTGTGTGTGTGTGTGTGTTGTGCATGTGTGTTGTTTACATGTCATTGTTTGCTGCTCATTGATATTTGCTTTATCCAATGAAGATTCCTTGATCCTGCCACTCTCCTCTGAAAAAGAAAGGTTATTTCTCTGCGTGCCCTTAAGAATTCTTCTTAAAGGGGCACTGGGTGGCTCAGTGGGTTGGGAGTCCAACTCTTGATTTCAGCTTGGGTCATGATCTCACGGCTCATGAGTTCGAGCCCCGCATTGGGCTCTGTGCTGACAGGTGCAGAGCCTGCTTGGGATTCTCTCTCTCCCTCTCTCTCTCTCTGCTCCTCCCCCACTTGTTCTCTCTCTCTGTCTCCAAATAAATAAAAATACACTTAAAAAAAGAATTGTTAAACAACGTTCCTAGTGAGGATGCTTTCCATTTGCAGAGCGTTGTATTCTTTAGGCAGTTGTGCCCACAGATACTGCAGCCAGGATTTCTGGCCTTTCTGTTGCCTGCCTTTATGTACCTTTTCTCCTTGCTTCATTCTAAAGAGCCTCGTTTCTGAAAACCATGCTGCTTCATTTGGCTAATTCTCTACCTACTTCCCTTAAGGTGTCCATGCAGAAGTGCCTTCAAATAGACTCTTTTTTAAAAAACAAATAAACACCAAAAATAGACCGACCCTCATGTATGTGGTCAATTGATTTATGACAAAGGTACCAAGTCCATCCAATGGGGAAAAACAGTCTTTTCAACAAAGAATGCTGTGAAAAGTGGCTATCACATGCAAAAGAATGAAGCGGGACCCTTATTTCCAACCATATTCAGAAAAGAACTCAAAATGGATCAAAGCTCCTAAACACAAGAGCTAAAACTCTAAAACTCTTAAGAAAATGTAGGGAGAAATCATCAGGACATCTGATTTGGCAGTGGTTTCTTGGATAAGACAGCAAAAGCACAGGCAAAAAAGTAAAAACAGATCAACCGGACTTCATCAAAATTAAAACCTCTGGTGCATCAAAGCACACTATTAAGACAGTGAAAAGATAACACAGAGTAGGAGAAAATATTTGCAAATTGTATTACCTGATAAAAGATTTAATATCCAGAATATAAAAAGAACTCTCGACAACAACAACAAAAAACCCCCAAAAAACCCAATGCAAAAATGGGCCAAAGGTTTGAGTAAATGTTTCTCAAAAAACAGATATATATTATGTCCACTAAGCACATGAAAGACGCTCCCCATCACTAATCATTAAGGAAACACAAACCAAAACCACAATGAGATACCATTCCACACCCATTGCCAAAACAATAGAAAACACGAAGTGCTGGTGGGGATACAGAGAACTTGTGCCCTACTGGTAAGATGCAGAATGGTGCCGCCACTGTGGGAAATGGTGTGGCAGATCCTCAAAAAGTTAACCACAGAATCACCATATGACCCAGCAATTCTACTCCTCGGTATACGTACTCAAAAGAATTTAAAGGGTGGACTCAAACTTGTACTTGTACATTAATGTTCACAGTAGCATTATTTACAATCGCAAAGGGTGGAAATACCCCAAGTGTCTATCAACGATGAATGGATAAACAAAATGTGATCTACACACACAAGGGAGTATTATTCAGCCTTAAAAAGGAATGAAGTTCTGATCCATTCTACAACACGGATGAACCCTGGAGCCACGCTAAGTGAATAAGCCAGACACAAAAGGAAAATATTGTATGATTACACTTATATGAGGTACCTAAATGACAAATTCATAGAGACAGAAAGAACATAGGTTACTAGGGACTGAGGAGAAGGGCAATGGGGAGTTACTGTTTAACATGTACAGAGTTTTGGGGCACCTGGGTGGCTCAGTCAGTTAAGCGTCTGACTTCAGCTCAGGTCATGATCTTGCAGTTCGTGAGTTTAAACCCCTCGTCTGGCTCTATGCTGACCGCTTGGAGCCTGGAGTCTCTTTCGGGTTCTACCTCTCCCCCTCTCTCTGCCCCTCCCCTGCTTGCACTCTGTCTCTCTCAAAAATCAATAAACAGTAAAAAAAGAAAGATATATAGAGTTTATATTTGAGATGATGAACACGTGCTAAAAATGGATAGTGGTGATGGCTGCACAAAACTGTGAGTATATTAAATGCCAGTGGTTAAATGGTTAAAATCATAAGTTTGATGTTATGTTTATTTTGCAGCAAAAAAAATCCTAAATAAATACACACTGCAGAGATAAAACAGAGGACAAAATGAAAACAAGTTTAAAAACAGCAGGCACGTTACCTTCCAGGGATGTAACCAGAACAACATGAAGACAAATGATGATGAGAAATATCTTGAACATCAGTAGAAGTTCTTCAGGTCTGCCAGCATGGCCACACTGCCTTCCCGAGAAGAACATCCTGGAACAAAATAAGGGGAACACATGAGCATCATGGCATGCCATAATCACAACCCAGAAATACCCGAGGGGTCAGTTACTTAAAAAGGCAAACTGCAATTCTGCTTCCTTTAAATTACTCTGCTCCAGAGAACTGGCAATGCCAGAAGGGCACGGGCTACAGAAAGCAAAACCCATGTTTTCTATGGGAAGACCACCCAGCGGGATATCGTATTACATTAAACAGTATTTTAAAAACGGGGCAGCTATGTGGCTCAGCTGGTTAAGCATAGGACTTTTGATTTCAGCACAGACCATCATTTCACAGTTCGTGGGTTCGAGCCTTCCGTCAGACTCTGTGCTGATGACACAGAGCCTGCTTAGGATTCCCTCTCTCTCTCTGCTCCTCCCCTGCTTGCTCTGTCTCTCTCTCAAAATAAATAAATAAACTTTAAAAAATTTATTTGAAAAACAAAGCCCAGAAACAGACTCACAAATGCAGAAAAGAAACTAGTGGATGCCCGAGGAGACAGGTGAAGAGATAAGCGAAATAAGTGAAAGGGATTAAGAGGGACAAACTTCCAGTTATAAAATAAATAAGTCACATGGATGAAAAGTACAGTGGAAAAAGTAGAGTCAGAAATATTGTAATACATTTGTATGGGGTCAGATGGTAACTACACCTAACGGTGGTGAGCATTTCATAATGTACAGAATTGTCGAGTCACTATGCTATATACCTGAAACTAATAGAAAGACTACTGCAATGTTAAGACTACAATTTTTAAAAAAGACAGGCAAGGTAGTCCCTGTGAATTTATGGAAAACTTTAATACATGCAAAATGTTAAGAAAAATTAAAAACACAAAACACTGCACATATAATTAGTAACACAATATAAAGGCTGCTTACAAACTATGTTAAGAATCAGAAGGGGTTAGAGAATCCTATAAACATTCTAGTCTTATTTCTGTTTTATATTGTAAAAGGATTTCCTCTTCATTACATGTAAGTTCATTAACCAATGTTTGCGGTGTTAGTTGTCAGGAGGACAGAGTCAACATTTTTAAAAAAGCAAAGTTCACAACAAAACTGAGTTTAAAAGCTCCGTTTACCACTCATGTATTCATTCATTCGACAAATATTTATTGACGGGCAATAAAAAGAAACGCATCGAGGGGGAGCCTGGCACACTGAGCGGCTCGCAAATCCGAAGCCCGGGTCTGTTCCCCTCAGGGTGGGGGGCTGGCCACCAGAACCCCCTGATGGGCGGCGAGCCCAGGCTGGCATGGGAGGCTGAGGGAGGCAGAGGCTAGGCAGGAGGTCACAGCCCGCCCACGGGCTCAGGCACAAGCAGGCCAAGCAGGCTCCCTCCCCACGGCCACGGGTGAAGTGGCTGGGACGGGCCAGGCGGTACACTCTCAGCTGGCAGAGATCCTGACCCCAGCACCGTGAACCCAGCGACCAGTGCAGCTGCTGCCAGCTTGAGGACGACAGAGTGTGCGTGCGCAGCGGTGAAGACCAAAGAGCGGGAAGTCAATGGTTCTGGCTCTGCCGTGCAGTGTCGGGGTGACTCTGGACAAGCCAGTTCCCATGGCCAAGACTGCCCATCTAGCAAACTGTGATTAAGAGCGCCAGCCCAACAGTACTGCTGTGGTAAGTAAGCACCGTGAGGCCACTGTAAGTGCTAACTGTACTCTCCACCCGTTCAGTCAACAAATACCTATTTTGCACCTAGTGCGTGCAAGGGTGAAATAGTGCAGGGATTCTGTGGATGAGGGCATGAAAAGATGGGGGAAAAAACCACAATTTCTCAGTCTCAAGGGAAAGATGTCAATCTTTAAGAATCCTGTGATTTAATGGCCATCACCAATACCAGGGAGGTAATTCTTTCCTTGGACATGGTGTGATAATGTCTCAGACCAGGAGGTGAATCCCTCTCCTTCCAAGAGGGCTTGCGTTTTTTAAATCAATAAATTGTATTATATATTAATACGCTATGTTAATAAATTGTAAAAGGTCTCTGGTTTGGCTCTCCTCTTCAGCACTTTTATCCTCTCTCTCTTCCTAATGGCATATTATTGACCCTCCCAAATGAGTCACTCGAACCAGAATGTTAATATAGCTGTGCAAAAATGTAGCAATTTCTCCCTAGAGGAAAATTTAAGTGTCTGCTACAGCTACACACAACAATATTGATGAATCTCAGAGATACAAAGTTAGATCAAGGGGCCAGACATGAAAGAATGCATATTGTACAGGATTCCATTCGTGCAAGGTACAAAAGCAGGCAAAACTAGTCGATGGAACAAGGGGCAGGGAGAGTGGCTCTCCTTGGAAGGGGGTGAGGGTGTAATCATTAGAAGCGGACACAAAGGGGTTTCTGAGGCACAGGTAACATTCTGGGTACTGGTTACAAGGTTGTGTTCAGTTCCTGAAACTCACAGAATACTACATTTTGTGGGTATGTCACAAAAACTTTCATTTAAAAGTTTAAAAAATCAATCTATTTTTTATTTCTGAAATCAGTTTCCTCTCCAAAAGCACTGCTATTAAAAGAAATCTACATTTAGTGCACCAAACCTCTACCAAAAACAAAAACAAAACAAAACAAAACAAAACAAAAAAAAACCTCTCTTATACACACGCCCTTAGGCTCAACTCTACCAGGAATTTGTAGAACTGGCTTAGAAAATTTACTGCACAAGCATCTAATTTCAGTTCTGCAAAGAGTATCAGAGCAGTTTATTTCTAGAAAGGAACTCAGGATTCATCTAGCCTCAAATCCTCATTCTACAGACGAAGAAAGAGGTCCACCATGCTCTAGGCGATGGGTCAAGGTCATCTGGCTACTTGGTGGGACACCTACTCTTCCCATCAGGCCACAGTGCTGTCCTTCGAAAGTAAACTGTTCTGAATCCACCAGGTGAAATGGATCAACAAATTCAAAACACTATTATATAATTTCAAACTTTCTGCCAACTCATTCTTGAGCTTTGCCAACTCCTTGGGGAGGACCTCCTAAGTGGTATATAAGATATGGTCAAAGTTAAATTAGTCATAGTACACAGTGACTGATTATTATGTGCTATAACTTGGGCCTCTGATCAAAAGAAACCTCGCCTTTTCACTGAAGAGAACTTGTACTCAACTCCCAAATGAAAGCAGGAAAGGCCAGAAGGAAGGTGATTCCAGCAATTGTCTTGAAAAGAGAACGGAGATCAAGAAGGACTTAAAGACCAGGTGCCACTGAAAAGACTGCTTTCAGTTGTCAAGCCTGAAATATCTTTCCTCAAGGCTGAATACATATTTCCTAGTAGGAGCTGTCTTATCATATTTAAAATAATGCAGCCCCTCTTGCCTTCTGTATAAACTAGAGAGCACCCTGCTAAGTCATAAAGGCCTAGGATCACTGATCGAAGAGGAAATCTGTGATTCTGAAAGCCTTATTCATTATACATGAAAGTTGTTTATATCTTTTTGAGCTAGAACTTTTCTTCATTTTCTGGTGTAAGCTGGGTTAGCTCAGTGCGATCTAGGCCATCAAGAAAGATGATTTGAATAGCCATCGATTCTTAGCACATGTTCAAGGTGCTAAAGGATGGCTGGTGAGATAGCATCAATTGCAAAGAAAACTATCTGCTAGCATTTAAACAGTAAAATCTAGACCTTGACACTAGACAACAACTCAGTAAAGATTATCCAAGGGGCGCCTGAGTGGCTCAGTCGGTTAAGCATTTGACTCCTGATTTCAACTCAGGTCATGATCTCATAGTCATGAGTTCCTGACAGCATGGAGCCTGCTTAGGATTCTCTCTCTCCCTCTCTCTCTCTCTGCCCCTTCCCTGCTCATGCTTGCATGGACGCATGCACGTACTCTCTCTCTCCTCTCTCTCTCAAAACAAATAAACTTTAAAAATAAATAAACAAAATAAAGATCATCCAAGATGCATCTTGGTCCAGGGCCCCCTTTTATGGTTGTGGACTCTGATGTACGTGGTGACCCTGGGGCTGTACCGTGCATAAGCTACATGACTCTGTGCCAGGGCCCTGTCGGAATCCTCCAAGAAATGTTCTACATCTCTTCAGTTTCTTTAAATATACTAACAACTATCATATTTTTAAAAACATGTATATCATCAGGGTAACCCTGAATGGTAATAAATGATAAATCTATCTTTATCTAAATAAAGAATAATTAAAGAATAAGATTTAAAAGGAGGGGGGCAAGAGCTTGAGGCCACTGTAGGGTAGGGCTCCGTAAGGATTATTCTCTGCCACCTCTGGTTAATTGCCATAATTGGACTATAAAACGGCTGCCACGAAATATACAATGATCGCCATTTTTGACCTACGTAACAACAGGTGTGATAGTTGTTCCGCAAGTCTCCTAAAAAACTTTACGCCTTTTAGATATTTACACTGAGTCATAAGTGTTGGATAACCAGGCTTGCACAAGTGGAAATTTAAAAGGGAGGTACTGAAGAGGTTCTCAGTGCAAATAAAGCAATTGACTTGGATCATTCAAATGTCAAAGAAGTCAGAGAATCTCAAGGTTGCTTTTTTCCCCCTAGAATCTCTGGTTATATATTTACTCAAAAAAAAAAAAAAAAAGAATCAGGAAACTATTAGTAAAAACATAACTAAATTGATTTGAAGTCTACTAAAAGACCCTGATTCAGCAAATACCTCAGAAAAAAATTTTCTTCAGTGATCCAAGAATATGTTGGTTTCAGTTATTTATACCAAACCTTCTGCTGAATATAAACAGAAATTATGAACAAAATATTAAGAGCATTTTCTTAAATATAGCAAAGAGCTAACAAGAGAGAAAAGAATCACCAGGCCAGAGATGAAGGGAAAAGCAGAAACTCAAGGGGGTAATGTAAGCAAAGGAACCACTATTCCTGAGGTTATAGGCCTAATGAAGCAAGCCTGAGCTCCAGATATGAAATACAAAATAAAAGCTCAAAGATATGGAGAAAAAAAATGCAAGGTCTAACATATACTTAAAATTCGAAA